TTCAAGAGGGCGTTTTATGTTTTTCAACGTATTTTTTTACGCTGATTACGGGAAAAATAATTTAAAAATTTTTAAATAATCGGATCAGTGTGAAAATCGCGTCTGAAGTTTATTTCACTCATATCTCTTTAACGGTAACAGATACGACAAAAATAAAAATACCAGCGTGTAGGGCGAAAAATTTTCTACCGATTTGATTCATTACATATCTTCAGACAAGCGCAAAATTATTCTTAAAAAAATTGATTAAGCGTTTTCAACACTTTCTGTAAGAGTGAGTGAGAAGGAGAGAGCGGCGGTGGTGCGTCAGCCACGATGAGCTATAAGTTACGAGCCATACTTTCTCCATGCTCGACTGTACATGCGTGTGTTGTGTATGAGTATAGATCATGATGCGTGGCGAGAGAGAAGCAAGAGGAGAAGCAGCAGCGAAAGGAAATGCTGGATTAGATAGAATATTCTTCTTTTTCAGGTTGCGGGCCACGCACTAAAATATTTATAAGTCCTCAAAAGACATTTAATCATGAAAAAAAAGGTCTCTGAAGAAAGAGTTTTTTTCACGTTTCTTTGTATTTTCTATCGATTGGTAATAGTGTCAAATGAGTTTTTTTTTTAATTCTAGAAATAATAAATCAAACTTTATAGTTATTTGGCTTTGGTAAACACGTGCGTTTTTAGGCATATTGTACATGAACGTAAAAGAACAATTGTAATTTTTGCATTTTTAACAATATTTCAGGAAAAAAACTGTTTTGTTATTCAAACACTGCAAATATCTCATATATGTTGTAGAGANTTTTTTTTTTTTTTTTTTTTTTTTTTTCTAGAAGTAATAAATCGAACTTTATCGTTACTAGGCTTTGGCAAACACGTGCGTTAAGGCATATTGTGCATGAACTTAGAAAAAAAGTTTTAATTTTTACATTTTTAACAATATTTTTTTATTGCCATTTTTTTAAACCTTAGTGGAAAATGTTTTTTGTTTAATTTTATTATGATCGATTGGCATTGTTAAGTTCTCTACAACATATCTGTGATATTTGCAGTGTTTGAATTGCAAAACAGTTTTTTTCCAGAAATACTGTTAAAAATGCAAAAATTAAAATTTTTTTTTTTACGTTCATGCACAGTATGCCTAAACGCACGTGCTTACCTAACCCAAATAACGATTAAGTTTGATTTATTATTTCTAGGAATAAAAAAAAAAAAAACCTCATTCGACCCTTTTACCAATCGATGGAAAATACTAAGAAACGTAAAAAAACTTTTTCCCTAGAGACCTTTTTTTTTCATCGTTAAATATCTTTTGAGGACTTAAAAATATTTTAGTGTGTGGCCCGCAACCTGAAAAAAAAGAATATTCTATCTAATCCAGCATTTTCTTTCGCTGCTGCTTCCCCTCTTGCTTATCTCTCGCCACGCATCGTGATCTGTGTTCGCTACGTGCACAAGCTGAAAAAGCGATCGCAGTAATACCTGTGCTAATATGTGAAACTAAACGGTATGTTTGTCTTCTGCTAGCAGACTACTAAGCATTACTATCATCAGAAAGTTATGTGTTTATACATCGACAACCATTCTAAGGGTTACATTTTTAATAAAATTATAAGTAGTATGTACATATTTTGCTCATGCATGTTCATTTTAAAAACGCAATGAAATACATCTTATACTGTGTATTTCTTAGAGTTTTTAGCTGGGGCCTGATCCTCTAAGCGTATCGTATGAACGTGTGTACATACTGTGTGAACACGCCGGTATAGGGCTAATGGAGCTCTCTGATTAGTCAGAGGAGGTCTGTGTTGACAACGTTGCAAACTAATAAAACGCATCACGTTATCACGTATCACACAGTACACGGACTTGTGTTGAAGTAATACTCAAGCGCTTATAGTGCTTGTAGTACAAATTTTGTCTTTAGTTATTCACGTAGGATTGTACCACTTGAGATATTGTATTAATTCGTGGTATAATGAACACAGAACCTTTTGTGTATCTATCGAGGTGCTGTGTTCCTATAGGTATCAAGCACATATCGCGAATATTGCCTTTCTCTGTGCCCGACCAATAGTTCTCGTTTTTTCCTCAGTGGCGCTGCTTCAAAATTGTGCACGTAGCGAATACGTATACAGCCACAGCGCTTTCGCGCTTGTCTGCAGATATGCAACGGATCAAATTGATATAAAATTTTCCGCCCTACACGCTGGTATTTTTATTTTTGTCGTATCTGTTACCGTTAAAGAGATATGAGTGAAATAAACCTCAGACGCGATTCTCACACTGATTCGATTATTTTAAAATTTTTTAATTATTTTTCCCGTAATCAGCGTAAAAAAATACGTTGAAAAACATAAAACGCCCTCTTGAACAACAAATTTCTAATTCAGAGCTTGAGCGAGTCGTCTAGTACTTCATACCACCTGTCTTATCTTGCACCGTGAATTTCGTCGTGATCGAGTCTTAAAAATTTTCTTTTATATATGTGGTTTATAAAGGCTGTATTCCGCAAATGCTGCCAGCAGTTAAGTTACGTAGGTCGTGGTAACACCGCATGGTCGGGCGGCGCTAGCGTCAACCTGTACTAACTGTCGGTGGGTTCCGCATGTCAACAAACTCCGAAATATCGGATGGCATGGGAGTGAAAACAGTAAAAAATATCGAAGTTTGTTGACATGCGGAACCCATCGACACTAGACAGTTAGTACAGGTTGACGCTAGCGCCGCCCGACCATGCGGCGTTACCACGACCTACGCAACTTAACTGCTGGCAGCATTTGCGGAATACAGCCAAATTACAACCATAAAACCGATTGATTTGCGTTCGTTATTTGCACGTCACTGTCCCCTGGCGTCGTCAATTAACTACTATATAGTAGAGATAAAAGTATCTCTATGACCAATACTCTACATTCTGATATCTCTATCGTGGTCTAATGGACAATGTACAAAATATATTTATTTTATTATTGAGATTGTTAACTAACAAACGAAACAAGTTTTTGTGCGGTCTTACTGATATTAGCTTCCCGCGCAAGTGAAAGTAAGGCTCAAGTACTTACGTGGCATTGGTTAGTATATTAAATCAGTGATGAGTGGGAACTAAAAAATGAAAACCGATTTAACTTTATTAAGCAAGGTTACGTTTGTTGGAAACAGTCTCTTTCAAATTTTTCTTTTTTCTGTAGTTACTAGTTGGCATCACTACTATTTCTCTTGGGCAATGAGAGTACATTAACTATTTAACTATTAGATAGTACTTCTTGTGTTGTCTTGTTAAAAAAATCCTAATTTGCATTACACTATTGTTTTTAGAATATTGAAGAAGAATTGGAAGTTATAAAACAAATTTACAAACAAATTAAAGATCTCTATGCTTTGANAATACTTTAACCAGGACATTAGAAAAAAGTGTTTCTATAAAGTGATTTTGGTCGGCTGGCTAGGCTTTGGGACGTATATCAACGTGACCTCACGTTTAGTGTGTCATTATAACTGACCAATTTTAATTGCGTACAATTCATACGATTGGCCAGTTATTGGGACTTGACGCTTCGGCCACAGGGACAAGTTTTTTCTACAGTGGCCAAAAATTGGGACATTCCATCATGTCAAATAATAAATAAAAACTTTTTTCTGCGTATGCAAAGAATCCTTTCTTTTTGGTACAGCTTAAAATAGTGTTATAACTATAAAGTAATCCCCATTAGGACTTAAATTTTTTTTTTTTTTTTATATTTATGGAGTACTTAAGAAGTTGGTCTACTAAGATGGCCAACGTGTGGTACATTTACCTTAACGTGTTATAAGTGGGCAAAGATTAGGTTAAAGTCCGTAGTAGGGGGGTTTTCCCCTACGCTACCCTACTACTTTATAAGCTTGCGTCCAAGTATAGCCATACATATATGACAAAGGGTCAATCATGAGCGTATTAGAGAGAGAAAGGATGTACTACTATTGGTATTCTGTCTCTCTCTTCTCGACACGCAGTCGAAGCATACGATGCTTTCTCCATATATTTATGCAATAAGTTACATATTCTTTGTCTCTTTCTTTCTCTCTCTTACATGCACATGCACTATTATTCGGTATTTGCACAATATAATTTGCACACATGCGCGCGCAAAAAAATAATTCTGCTCAAAATATTAAGTGTAGTGTCTTGGTTCATGTGATTGAAAAAAAATTTTCGTTTAAAACTACATGTTGAATTCTTCCAGTTGTAAAAAATTAAAATAAAATTCATGTTGCAGAAGGAACTTTTAACCATTTAATTGCTTGGTATGCATTTTATATGTAACGTTAATTAATTATTAAAAAATTTTTTTTGCTGCTGTTAGAGAGATATGAATTTTCAGAATACCCGAAAAATAGANTTAACTATTAGATAGTACTTCTTGTGTTGTCTTGTTAAAAAAATCCTAATTTGCATTACACTATTGTTTTTAGAATATTGAAGAAGAATTGGAAGTTATAAAACAAATTTACAAACAAATTAAAGATCTCTATGCTTTGATCCACCTAATTAGAGCTGATATTAAAGAAACAGAAAGAAACTATTACATTTTATTGAGTGAACAAGAAAATTTCAAGAGGTAATATAAACACTTTAATTATTCTCCTAAATAAAATTAAAACTAGCAAACCAATTGCAGCAACGACACCATTGGACAATACGTTTTACAAGGGCTACCCTTAAAACTAGACCATGTACCTTTGTAGTTTATTAAAATAAGTGGCTACCTGTCTTAGTTTTGAGGGTACTCATGGTAAAATTTGTTATTTGACGCTGTGTATTACTGCTGCAATTTGTATGCTAGTTTCAGCGTTATCTCTCTTACCTAAGAATAAGATATTTACTCAACTTACTAAATTTTTACTCTAAAGAATTTGTAATTTCAGAAATTTAAAGAGCAAAAAAAACAACGAAAAAGCTAACCTTTTTTATTTAAAAATTAAAAAATACTGAACTAATTTTTTTGTTTTTCAGTAGATTATAAATATCTATGATGTCTGGATTGAGCAGAACGAGCCTCATAGCAGGAAGAATTGAGACAGCTGAAGTTTCTCCTTTAATAGCATCACCATCTCGCAAACGTCGTTCAATAGCAACTCAAAAAGTTGTTGGAACAAATATTGAAGAAAATGATGATGAAGCTGAAAGGTTAGCTAGACGAGAAAAAAATGATAATGGAAGTCCTGCATCATCATCGTTATCTGCAGCTGATAGACGTCAGTCAGCATTTGGCTTGTCAGCCATATCAAATTTGTCTGCAGCTGAAATGAGTAATCAGATTGCGCAGTGTATAAAACTCAATGCTGAAAATAAGATTAATGATAAAAATGCATTTCAATTAAAAATGATCGATTTTCTTGTATATGCACTCAAAAAGCAAGATCCAAATATGACCAATTTACAAATGGCTAGCGCATCTTTAGATGCTAGTGCCAAAATATATGGTTTTAGAGTTGATAAAGTACATTCTGATCTTTTAAAAATAATTGGTATGGCTAAACAAGATAAAAGAGATCAACAAGAAGAAAATGTTTGTCATGATATTGGTCAAATCCAAAATAAAAATGAAAAAAAGAAAAAGAAAAAAAGGAGCCGTCAACATATTATATCAACTGCAGATACTTTAAAAGGAAACGTTGAAATTTATGATCCACTGTCCTTGATAAGATGTCAAAGAGATACACAAACATCAGACATGCTTTTTCAAGCTGGTCTCCCTCAGCATGCAAATCAAGGAGTCGCTTTAAATCTCCATAATGATGTTGTACTTGACAAGATACCATTGGTTAACAACTCGAATAATTTTTTTCCGTCTTTCATCAACAACTTTGCTAGTAGAAAAAGTAAAATTTGCCCGTCATATACAGCTTTTAAGTTTCTACATTGGTCGCCAAATGATGAACGAGACGAAATAAAAAGTCCAGATGATCTAAATGGTGAATATCACTTTGACTTGGATGCTGCTGTTAATGATGCTAATGAAAATGATCATGTTCTGATGGATTGTGGAGATGCTTATGAAGAATGCTGTGATAGGTTAGCCAAAACTTATCAACCTTACGAGAACATAGTAGACTTTCAAGATATCATAGTTAATAATCCTAATCCTGATGCAACATATGAATATTCATACATACAAAAAAATTACCGAATTCAATGGGCTGGGCCTTCACATTGGAAAATTACATTAAATAAGAATTTATTAGGCAGTAGAGTTGTGGAAACGTGCAAACAAAACGCTGCAAAAAAGAAAAAAGATATTGAACTAGTATTTACACCTGATTCAAAAGATGAGGGTAAAGTAAAATTTGGACATATCAATCGGCAGACAAGGTTATCAGCAAAAACTACCAAACTAGTCTGGTCAGAAGATAAAGTTACTTTTCCTCAAGATGTACACTATGATTTAAAACGTTATTATATTTTTTTTAAGAAGCCAACTGAGCGCTTGAAACTTTCTGATGCTAACAGAGATGAGCTTGATGACAATGAAGAATTTTCTAATGATTGCGATGTTGCTAATGGTACTAGCGAGATCAACCATGTTACAGATGGTAATGAAGAAGACAGAATTGCACATCATCAAATTCGTGGTTTTACTCAGGAAAGCATATTATCCCAAGGTTATGGAGGGTTTGTTGGTGAAAATTTAGTTTCTATTCCTAAATTAACTGATAAGATATTTATACCATACTCTCAAAGAGCTAAGAAAATAGATATGAGACAGCTAAAAAAAGCAATGTGGAGAAATTTAAGAAAAATGTCTAAAGAAACAGAAAAAGAAAACTACAATATCACCCAAACAGAATCTGAGAGCAATAAAGATTTTGAATCTCAGCCATTTAGTGACACATACATGAAACTGCCTAGGATGCTGTCAAAACAGAACACTGAGTCATTAAGCCCTTCCATTGCATTTGTAACTCTTCTACATTTAGCTAATGAAAAAAATTTTTTCATTGAGAGAAATCTTGAATTATCAGATTTAATAATCAAAAGTGAAGTTAATAATTTGTAATTACCCTTTAATATTACTGTTTTCTGAGACATTCATATTTGTGTTTATATGGGTTAAAATTACAAACAAAATTTACGAAAACTGCTTATTTCAAAATATGTCGACTGAAAACGAATGTCACGAGAAATGTTGATGTGAAAAAATAAGTTTTGTTTTATTCTTAACTCGAAATTCTCAATTTTAAAAGTAATTTTTCTGCAATAACATTGAAATTAATACTTCACTTATGTTATTTAAATAAATAAAATCACTTCTTAAGCTGTTTGCTATAATATTTTTTTATCATTAAAAAAACATAGACATTTGCAAAATTGTTGAATGTTAGAATACTGAAATTATACATCCTGACTTCTATTATCTGTAACACTTTATATAGAACTTAAGTCTATGAAATAACTTTCATGAGTATAAAAATTTTATTTTAAATGATTTTGAACTGTTGTATCAAAAAATTTAATTTTCAATGATTTTTATATTACTTTTCCAAAAAGTGTGCAATAAATCATAACGAAAAACAAATTGGCCTAGTACCCAGCAAAAAATTACCGTAATAATGTTCGTGTATGGTAAATACCTTAGCAATTCTGTAAAGTAAGCACTATTTTTTTCATTACAATAATTTCTTTCTGTAACATTTCATAAACCATCTTGCGCAGTTTTCGAAATAAATTTACTGGAAACCAAAAACTAAGATTTATTCGTGAATTTATATTTTAAACATACAAACCAAATTTTGTTTTTATTACAAATGATCTCAGAAATCTGAGTATTAATATCCCTATGACATTAAATTAGTCGGAGTTTCTACTGTACCAACTTCTCTATGATAAGAAATTATGGTTAACAACTAAGTGTCTAGCTGTTTAAACCCGAAATAAGGAAAAGAGCCCCTAAGCTGGCACTTTGAAAAATCAATTGAGCCCAAATTCAATGCAATCCGTTGTGTTTTGTATAATTCCCAGTGAACCAAAGCGGTTAATCTGCGAATAGTTTATATGAAATAAATACTTGTTTGACATAAATCTCTTATTCGATAAATCAATTTTTTAATAATTTTAAGTAAAACCCGAACTTCCTAAGTGTTAAATTTTCTGAAACTAAACTACAAGTTTCAATAAATATTAGATTATGTTACAGCTATCAACAAAGAAATACAACGTATTTAAAGGGAAAAACATGTGAAAAAAATCCTTTCTGTTGCTTGATAAATTACAAATCAAAGAAATGTGAATGATACAAATAATGCATAATTTTGACCAAAATCATATGAAAAAATGAATACACAATTAACGACACATGCAATTGAACATATAAACGTGATTATAACGCATTGAATTGACCAGCTGAACAATAAATACCATGGATTTTAGCTGTATATGCGCAGGCCTGTATTCAGTTGCATAGACTGTTGTCCACTAACAACTGCGTAATTGACCCTGATGGGCTTGAAATGAAGTGAGGGATTGTTGTCCTTTCACTAGTTATCTCTAATATATTACAAAAAAAATATATTAGCTTGATACATAATCGAATATTGAACACGTGTATGAGTTCATGCCCGGATAAATTATCTCGTGGGTATAAAACCAAACGGCAAAAACTATCTAAAATGAATTTATTTAGTACTCAAGTAAATTTAATGAATTCATCTAAATTCCTTAACATGAACGGAAAATGAATTTATTATGAATTTATAAACTCAACAAGTTATGTCCTAATAATAGAGTTCTTAAAGAATCTGTAAAGTATTCTCTAAATTAAAGAAAATATCAAAATATGTAGAAATAAAATGCAGTGATTTAGTCTCGAACTTGGGCCTTCTGGGTACCAGCTTAGAGCTCTCCCATGGAGCTGGACAGACAACTTTGACTCTAGAAGCAATCCTGTTCTACTTAACATGGAGTTGAATTTATTTTATCTTATTTCGCGTAATTACACTTACTAACAAACTATATTTTCTTCATCATGATATACCTAGATTTTATCAAAGTAATATTTAAATGTGACCTAGCTAACGTTATTATATTACATCCCTGGTAGCACAAACACGCATAAGTACATTGCATAAGACGATGCTCGGCCTGCTTCCGCAAGTGAATCAGACGTGAACAAGAAGTGCACAGATGTAGAGGCATGTTGGCACAACGCTTGCGTAAGTAGTAAGTTACACTCTACCCGTAACAAAATTTCTGCGCGATATCGTGCAAGATATCCTACACGATATCTTACAAGATATCCTACACAAAATCTCATAGGATATCGTGTAAGATTTCTTACACGATAGTCTACCCAGCTAAAAATTTGTCATAAGTTCTTACATAAGTACTTATGTAATTTCTTACATATGTTCTTATGTAAGTTCTCATTTAAGTTCTTTAAATAGAACTTATGTCAGAACTTGTACACGATCTTACATTTGCTTATCAACCGAGAACTTACATAAGATCTTATGTAATTTCTTATGTAAGTTCTTATTGAAGTTCTTATAAGAGTTCGTATATCAGTCGTTTAAACGTATTAAATTACTACCTAGATACATACATGGTGAATTTTAAAATTTTTCCTGCATAAAAGCTGTTAAAATAGCTAATATGAACTAGCAAATACAAAAAAAAGCATTTTTTACCTCCTCTAAGGGGATTTGAACCTAGTCCGGGGATTATCTAGACAGTTAGTGTCTTACCCACTTGGCCAGAGTGGATTGGATACATGGGAAAGAATTAAAACGTCAAAAGTAATTGACTTCTAAAGCTGTTAATTTTTTTATTTTGTGGATAATATTTACCACCTTGGTTACCTCATTGGTTAATAAACATTTTATGAATGTACATATAACATTGTTTTGAGTCTGATAATGCGTTTCTTGACAATAAATCTAGTAATTAATTTCACAAATACTTTTCGTTCACGGATTTTATTTGAACTTTACTTATACTTTTTATTCTAAGGGAAAAATAATCTATTTTTAAAAGTGTAATAAATTTATTGTAATTGCTACAACAACAAAGTTGAGGATTAACTTCTTCTCTTCAATACTTTAATGTCGGTATCAAAAACCAGCAGCAAAAATAGTTTCTCACTTATATAAACATTACTCGAAAGATTACATAAATTCTTAAAATAAAAGTTACTACATGAAATAAAGTTTT